ATCATGACTTAGGCAGCATCAAGATGAAGATTCCTCCATTCCAAGGAAAAAATGATCCAGATGTGTATTTGGAGTGGGAAAAGAAGGTGGAATATGCCGTTGATGGAGAACTGCTTGTCACTAGGCGAGCTTTGAATGTGCAAGCCAAAGAATATGATGAAGTACAACGTGACAATATATTTCACACGAGATGCCATGTCAAAAACAAGGTATGTAGTGTGATTATTGATGGTGGTAGTTGTACTAATGTAGCTAGCACTGTTTTGGTTGAAAAGCTTAATTTACCGATGATGAAGCATCCAAGGCCATATAAGCTGCAATGGTTAATGATTGTGGAGAAATTAAGGTAAATAAGCAAGTTTTGGTTTCATTCTCTATTGGACGATATAAGGATGAGGTGCTGTGTGACGTCGTTCCCATGCATGCTGGACATTTACTTTTGGGGAGACCATGGCAATATGATAGGAGAGTAACACATGATGGCTTCAAAAATCGCTATTCATTCATCATGGAAGGGAAAACAATTACTCTTGCACCATTGAGTCCAAGGCAGGTTTATGAGGATCAACTGAGAGTAAAAAAAGAGAGTGAGCTGAGAAATGAGAGTGAGCTTGAGGGTACGAAAAACAAAGAGAAAACAGCAGAAAAAGAGTCCAAAAAGAGAGGAAAGATTGAGAGTGTTGAAAACAAATAGAGAAAATCAGTGAGTGTTTATGCAAAAGAAAGTGATGTCAAGGCTGCGTTCTTTGCAAACCAGCCTATGTTTGTGTGTCTGTATAAAGATGCTTATTTCAACACTAACGAACTTAATGATTCTTTGCCTAGTGTTGTTAAATCTCTTTTGCAAGACTTCAAGGATGTGTTTCCAGATGATGTTCCTAATGGTTTACCACCAATAAGAGGAATCGAGCATCAAATTGACTTCATTCCTGGTGCAACAATTCCAAACCGACCCACATATCGAAGCAATCCCAATGAGATGAAAGAACTTCAAAGGCAGGTCGAAGAACTCATGAAAAAGGGACATGTGAGAGAAAGCATGAGTCCATGTGCAGTTCCAGTGCTACTTGTGCCTAAGAAGGATGGGACTTGGCGTATGTGCATTGATTGTCGCGCGGTCAACAAATCACTGTAAAGTATCGTCACCCTATTCCTAG